AATCTTACCAATAAATCTTACTTAAATATTTATCACAAAACTCTCATTTTAAAAATTTGTAATTCATTGCAAGATTCTTTTCTATTTAAGACTTGGGGTGCTTATTGAAGGGGAAGAATGGTATTTTCTAGCCTCGGTTATTCTGTAATATCGATTGAAATTGTTCACCAGAATGTTGATCTAAAAAAGCAGAAAATGATGTAGGATAGATTCATGTACGCAATTTGAAGGGAAGGAGACAGGTTGACATGGGATTTGCTATAGTTTTAGCAGTACCAAGTGTTCATCACTGTTAGAGATAAAGATTTTATAAGCCTGATTTTAAAGTATGTGATGTACGTTTCTCTCGGGAAATAAAAACAATGGAACATGATTCACAGTTACCATAAGATGACTCATAATGACATTTTAACCTGAAAATCCAGTGTGGTGTCCAAATTGCTTGCTTTTCTGTCTTTCTGTAAAGTATTAGTATTTTCATTTAAAAAATTGGACTTGTGCATGAACACTTGGTTTGTAATATTTTTCTACTTTTTAAAAAAAATTGTAATCTTTCCTTTATATTACATATTTAAGTGGAATATCATGAACCAAGCCTCTCCCTATACACATGATTCTGTCCCATCTTTTATCATTATATGTTTGAGGGATTTTGACTCAGCACCTGATAGCAGTATCATGACAAATATTTGGATTTGCAATTATTTATCACTTTGCAATTTTGTTTTCCATTTGAAACTGAATTTTAAAAAAAAAAGTAACAATTAAAATATCTGAAAAATGTGATATAAATCAGAGGACAATCAACCTCCCTTTTAAAACCTTCCATTATGTGTATATCTGCAATTTTAAGAGTTTTTTCACAGTCCATGAATTTTCCTACATTGAATCTATTGTTAGAATAGAGTTTACATAGAATATATTACAATGATAAGATTTTCAGATTAGAAAAAGATTTTTTAATTTTTTTTTATACTATCTGCAAAGTCATAAACAACAAGCTCCTTATTGTGTTGTTGAAATAATAAAATGTGTTGTTGATGAACTCCTGTGATTTCGAAAGGCATTCTTAGTCTAATCTCTAGTTACAGAATGGGCTTGATTAGATTAGATGAATGTTTGGTTCAAACAGGAGTATAAAAATGTACCAGCCACGTGAGAAGGAGCTAGCATTGTAATCTGACTCAGGTGTCTCGTCCAAGTGTTTTTCCACTGATTATATGCCTTGGCTAAAAGTTTTATACCTCTGTCGTGTTGTACTGACCCAGTTCAGAGAAACTGTTCTATTATTGTTATAAGTTTTTTGCATGATGTACATGTAGTTAGTTGAGACAGCAGGAAACATGTAATTATAAGACTAAAATTATTCCATTAAAATATCATAGGTCAACATCACTAGTTTGTCGTCAACCTATATTACATAGTGTTTAGTAGCCAGGAGATTCATTGTAAACACAAGATTTACTTTACAAAACTGGTCTGGTTCTTTTCTTGAATTAGACATACATCACCCCTTTCAAAAATCAGTAGTTTTTGTTTTAAATTTCAAAAAAAAAAAAACTTAAGTTTTAAGTGGTTAGAATAGGGCTTACCGTGTCAAATTGAGCAGCTTGGTAGGTAGTGGTAACATGTATTGTTTAGAACAGAAGTAAAGAAATGCAATGTTTTGATGAGTAATGTCAATTATATATAGTATTTACTGTTGTGGACTGTTGAGCATTTTTTTGTCTGTGGATTTATCGGTTACTGGGGGTATGGTTAATCAATCATTACATCATTGTTGGGCTCTGATATTGTCTTTAGTACTGCCCTCACACTGCTCAGATAGATGTAAAGAGGTGGGGTGATAAACATCTCTCCTCCGCAGTCCACCAAGCCTTATCCATTAAGATTGGGTTTTTTTTTTCAGTAATTAATTTTTCTACCTGTAGGTGAAATTTTCAGGTATTTGTTCTGATTTCTAGATTTTTACTCAGATGGGGTTGACAAGACTTAACACAATGTAAATATTTCAAAATTGTTCAGCATTTCAAAAATTGTGAATCTCAATGATTATTGGTATATGTATGAAACAGGCATAATTCAGTCTACAGAGAAATCTAATATCTACAAGCTATGTACATTGTATGTTACAATTTCTATTGTGTTAGAATCGAATATGTATCTTCCCCAATCTACTTACAATTTGATTATCAATACAACTCCATAGAACTCTGAATGCGGAGTCATAGAGAGATAAATTGAGAATCAAATTTTAATTAGATTGTATCCTCCCAATCTGTATCTGTTTTGCTAATTTTACACACCAGGTAGATTTTTTCTACAGAACTATACTGGTTTTGGTATTCCTGGAAATACAGTATTAGTATTATGTCTGAAGTTGTCTAGACCTTAATTCTTTTTAATTCATCTCAAATTAAGATTTTAACTTTGAAAATAAGAATTATTTATACTGTACACTGTTGTACAAAATAGGATTAACACCACTCAAAATGACAGATTTCTTGCAGGATCTTTGAATTTTTGTAACTTAGGTAGAGTAAGGCTGAGTAGAAAACAGAACTGAATCTAGCCTTTTCTCATACCAAACCAATTATATAGTGTTATTAATGGAGAAACTAATCGTAAATATACTCATGTAGTAGGGTAGTGGGTATTAGGTAAATTGTAGAAAACTCTCTGTACAATATATTGTGTAGAATGTATCAGCAAGGATTTGGGTATTTCTCTATGATAAAATGCCTGACATGGTACCCTCTGTCATCCCAAACACTATTTCTCAGGAGTGATTTATAGAATGTGTCACATGCAGCATAGAGACACAGATAATAATTTACCAAATATTTATTTCTCACCTGTTTTCTGCTTTCATTGCATTGGAAACTACACTATTGTTGATATCGTGAGTTTATCGATGTCACTGTTTCTGAAGTGATGTTTCACCACTGTGTGTTATTGTCTGTATTGTAACTAGATGTTTCTGATATTACTAATATCTTTCATCACAAGGACTTGCCACACTTCTGTGAGAAAATTTTCACAAGTTTACAAAAATGTACTGTAGTGTTTGCTTTGCCACTCAACAAACTCTGATTGGTTCTTTTGTGGCATGCTGTTTTAGATATCACTTTCTATGAACAGGCAAAGTCCTCCATCACTCTACCTGAGAGCCGGAGGTCACTTTCAGTTGAACCTGATAACTTGGTTTCCATAGCACCGAACAAATCTTTGATATTTTGTGGAAATCTTCAGACACCTATGCATACCATCGATGGACAATTTTCGTTTTTGGAGGTCCAAAATTAAGTTCACCAAAAAAAAAGAAACATTACATATAAGAAGGTCTCAGAGGTTACTTTTGCACTGGTTTGAGGAGTTTATCGGAAACATTTCAACAATGATGTCTGTGTGTCCTGTACCGATAGGTAAACTGGGCACAACTGGTCCATACTCATGATCTGTTGCAGATTTGATCATTGATGATGAAACCAACAATAACCTTCATGACAGAATAAAGTAAACATCATCAGGATCGTTGGTTTAAAATTTCGCATCTTTGTAGACTGGACAAATTGGAGAAAGTATGTATTCAAGGAAGAAAGAATCATGTACTTCAATAACTCAACACAATGGTCAACCGATAAATACTGACCACACAAAACTGACCAAAATTTGTCCTCGGCAATACAACTGACCACTATAAACTAACTTATGTCACTGTCAAAATGTTCAATGTTTAATTAATGTACGAAACTGACCTCTCATGTTCCTAGTCAGTGGTTCTAACTTAACAACAAAAAACACTGACCAGTATATAAACTGTCTATGGATACTTACTGACCAACAGGCCATAAAATGACCAATAGCATTTCTTAATTGTCTGGAACTAATTCTGCTGAGTGACCAACCATCATATCCTAAGTGTCTTTTAACACATTTTTTCCTTGAAAATTTACCATATATCTTTAACTCTGTTAATTAACTAAATGACCAATACCGACTCTAATTGTCCTGATTTGGTCAACAGGGACCAAATTGACCAAATTCTGACCATTACCATCTTTCTCTATCTGACGACCCTGAACCAGTTTGTGGACTTGACAACAGTGACTGATGAGGTGCTATAAATCTGGATGTTTTGGTTGTGTTATTTTTCTCCTCACAATCATGTCATGCTTTATATAAGAAACATCTTAAACTTGTTTTTATTCTCAAATTATGAGAGGTGTCATTTTACCACACCCACTTTTCCCTTACAGGCAAAATTTTGAATACCCGGTATATTATAAAAGTTTTATATAAATTTACACATCAGGTGGATAGGCAATGAACTAACAGTCTATATGTACTTTAATGTTGATAACATTTTCTTATCCATGTCAAGGTTTGGGAATATTTAATCTGTTGTCATGTTTGACATCTTGAATGGCTATAGATACACCCTGAGGTACTTGGTCCCACCTGAATGTAGTTAATAGCCCAGTTATATAATCAACAGGTTATCTGTTACCTGTCATTTTACTTATTCCCGAAAAAAAAAGATTCCTTAAACAAATATGTATACAGAATTGAATACCAGACACTTCCAGTTGAAAACGTGTCATTGTTGACAGGATTATGTTCCCTATAATAAAGCAGACATTTCCGGAATGTCTGAATTTCCTTTCTCTGTCAGCATTATAATTGTTACGTAACTAGTTTCATATGAGCACAAAATAAAAAAGAAAGATAAGTTTAGGGGAATTTTTTCGTTCATATGCATGGTTCAATAAAAAAATTGACAAAATATTCAGATTTATAGTTAGTACTGAACTGACCAATAATGACCTTGTATGGATAGCTGCAGCAGAGGTCAATCTCCATGGCAGCACATCTTCATGGACAGCCAATTGCAAGTACTTGTACATTCATGGAAAGCTGGAGGAAGCTAAGAGTACAAGGTCTTTGCATCACAGGCCCAAGATTTACAGTTTATAGTTGATAGACACTTTTGCTTTTAGATTCGAGGCCACCATTCTGCAGACTTAGATCCCCTGGGAATCAGCCAGGCTACGATAAACCAAGATGGCTTGAACACTGACCTTTCTTACTCGCATTATAACTTTGGTAAGACTTCCAGCTCATACTGACCCCTACAAGCAGGGTGACCATGTCAGCAACAAGGGCAAGCTTCTTCGTGTTTTTCTTCTTTGTTTTAACTACACAAACTTTTTTTGGTGCTTATTTTCTCACACTTGCTTATTCTGTATTATCACTTTGTGGCGCTTTGCTGTGGTGCTTTGACTTCAACTTGTCTAGAGCATGCTGGGATTGGGCAAGCAAGGGTACTAACGGTACATGAGAATTATTTTCTTTTAGTTTGGTCTGTGTTATTGGTCAAAGAAATAATATGCATGTGAACATAATCATGTGTGTTTTTTCATGTAACAATCTTAAATGTTTTATTAATCTTTTTGTAGGTCACAATTATGTTTTTAAAATTTTTCCCCAGATATTTTCCTTTAAAACACATTTTGTTAAATATTTATAGTATATTAGTTGAACACATGAGTGGTTTTCAGGGAGGAAATAGACAAAGCAAAAAAAAAAAAAAAAAAAATAGAAAAAAACTTTCAGAAATTAACTCTAAACATATCACTATCATTCCTTAGTTCTGCTAGTGTTGCTTTGCTGAAATAGTACACAAATAACTTGCAAGGAAAATATCTCTTTATCTCTAATCTAGGAATTTTCTTTAGAGGTAAAACATGTTCAGAGCTCATACCGGGAGAGTGTATGTAAAATGTTGGCAAAGTGCAATAGGTGGTGTGTAACTGTTAAATGGTAAGGGAGGTAATCCAATACATATTTGTTTTGCAAGTCAATATTACTAAAAGAGAGAATAATAAAAATAATTGATTTTGTTTTTTGAGATTAATCAATTAGTGACAGGAAAAAAAGGAAAATTAGAAAAGCATTGCTTTTTAAGTAAAGATTTGAATAATTTCTTTTGTACAGTTAGCATAAAATATAAATTCATAATGAGATTAATTGTCTATTTATCTTTTTCTGTTTTAAGCTTGTTGATTTGCAAATTTGACAATATTTTGAATGTTGTAACTGCACTTTTAAAATAGATATTGTTTCTTTATAATAAACTTTATTTTCTTTTTCTGATTTTTAAGTTTGAAATGAAAGTTTATTGAATCCTTTTGATTTTTTTGTAAGTTTTTGTTTTACTTGATACAAAATAATTTTTCACATATTAAAAAGCATGGAGTGGGGTATGATGGTACATAGTTATATCTTCGTAGCTAGAAGTGAAGATTTGATGTTGTTCAGTACTACAGCATTCATTGCCTTGATGAAAAATAGATTGATCAAGAAATACAACCTGTGATATTTAATCAAATTACATATTACCCAGGTTGAATTATTTGCATAATTATCAAAATTTCAGTTAATTAATATTGCATTGTAGTCCTGGTAAATAGGTCACTAAGGTTATTAATTAAATGATTAACACAGATATTTTTTTTAGTTTGTTTGTTTTGTGAGGGATTATTAATCAAATACTAATCATTGTAACAACATATTTATTCCAATGGACATCACCAAGAATATTGTGAAAAAAAAAATTATTTAAGAATGGAATTTTTGGAATAAGTATTGTTGTACAGATTCTGTTTTTGTAAATAACATTGATTAAATTTTAATTAACATATTGTTTCAGAATAATTGGTTGGAAATGTGGCATGAAGAATTATCTGTATAAATATTGTTTAAAGCCGTAGTTCCACTGCATCAGTCCCTAAAAAAAAGACACCACTTTAATTGACATTTTCCGCTTGAGGAAACCCTTGTAATGAAAGGAATTAATCCTGTCAATTTTGTCTAAATTCTAATTTACTAAATAAATGCTGATTAACATTTCTTTACATCTAAATTAAGCATGTGTTATATGTTTATAATTTGTAATTGAGTGACTGGTATATCAAATTTAAAAACAGATTAATTAAATTTCCACATACTGAAACATCAACACATAAATTATGATATATTTAATTTCATCCTTTGAAGATTTGACCGGATGTTTATAAAAGAAAGAGTTTTAGAAGTAGAGTTTGCGTGCTCATTTTTTTCCTTTTTTTTTCTCCATTTTTTTTTTTTTTTATTATTATTGCCATAACTGTTCATTATATTCCACAGAAACTAACGCTATTTTTTGCAAGAATATTTTGATGTTATCAAAAATAATACCATACTGGCAGAGTATTAATATTTGTTTACTATATAGACCAAGTATTTAGACAAGTTTTACTAGTGTGTTGTTACTAATTTTAACAAATGTATGGACATACACTGACTTTTACATAACTGCCTGCCTTTTTTACCTATGTTAATTGAATTTTTTTTTCTTTTAATCTCTTTGAAAATTGCTATAGCTGAGGAGGATCTTGCGCGAAAATTTCGCTTGCCAAGAACCACCCACATTGGGGGAGATGAAGAAATGCTCTCCCTTGACGCTATTATAAACAGGCTAGAGGTAAGCTGTTTGATAATAGAGGTCTGGACAAGATATTGTCACTTACAGTATAATGATTTGACGTCTACAATACTAATTTCTGTAATGTCATTTAGCCTCTTGGGATTCCAAACATATTTCAAACATTTTTGTCGAATCAGCATAAAACTGGTTGAAAACATGAGAACTGGTCAGATGATATCATCAAATTTAATGTAAAAACTATCATCCTTCAGATAAAAAAATATGCACATCTTTCTATCCTAACATGTTGGTTTACTTTAGTAAAGTGTTGGTATTTTCTGTGAGCAGAATGTGTACTGTCGCCATATTGGACTAGAATACATGTTTATCAACAACCTGGAGCAGACAGACTGGATTAAGAGCAAGTTTGAGAAGCCAGGAATCATGGAGTTCACAAATGAAGAAAAGCGTCTCATAATGGCCCGTCTTATTCGTTCAACCAGGTAGACACAATTGTTTTTCATCATTTCATCTTGTGAATTAAGTGTTTTACTGATCGATTTTCTGACAAAAAAAATTGTATTTGATTTCAAATAATGAATTTCGAAAAAATAATGGGTCTGGAAAGACTGTTGAACTTTGTTTAACGCATTAGAATAAGATATTTCTCTTTCAGATTTGAGGACTTTCTGGCCAAGAAGTGGTCATCGGAGAAGAGGTTTGGGCTGGAAGGCTGTGAGGTCCTCATCCCTGCCCTCAAAACCATTGTGGACTCGTGTACAGAATGTGGTGTGGACACCTTTCACGTTGGCATGCCTCACAGGTAAGTGTTAACTAATTGTGATCCAAAAGTGTGTAACAAAATACAGATTATGTAGAAAGAACATGAAACATAGAATATATGGACTTAGGCAATTTTAAGTAGTTATATATAAGGCAACTTCATATAGGTTTGTGTTTTATCTGGAAGTCTATCAGTGTGAGATTTGTCTTTTCTGTACATGTTTTATATCAATCTTATAGGGAAATCAGTCTTATATAAAGGTCTCATCCCTTGGGTGTGAGGGGCTGGGCTCAATAGGGGAAATAGAGTAATAACCCTACTTCTCCTGTAGGAATGAATGGATATTGCCCAAATTTGGCCTGAAGCATTTTTAGTTGAAGGGGAATCAGTTCTGTAAAAGCTGTGCTTCCTGGCCCCCTATGGCAGAAGGGTTGGGCCCAGTAGTGGAATGTAACTTCTTAAATATGTTTCTTCCATACAAAGATACTGTTGAAATTTGGTTTGAAGCAGCTTTAATGAATAGTGAATCTGACTTCTGTTTGATCACATTCCAATCGGGAAATTATTTCAGAAATTGTTTTTCATATTGGAAATTCTTTACTAAATGCGAATAGCTTAATGAGCCAGGTGAAAGAAATTCCTCTGACTTCAACACCAGACTTTAAGACATTTTGACCGAAAGATGCCTAAGGGTCTGTCAAAGATTTTCCTTACAATATGTTCAAAAGTCTGATGTTCGAGCCAGAGACTAGTTATCATTAAACTACATTGACATTATACTGTTAAGCTGACAGCACTTTTCATTCTTTTTACAGAGGACGTCTGAATGTGTTGGCAAACTTGTGCCGTATGCCCTTGGAGAAGATCTTCTGTCAGTTTGACTCCAAACTAGAGGCAGCTGATGAGGGATCTGGAGATGTCAAGTACCATTTAGGCATGTCACATGAACGTCTGAACCGAGTTACAAACAAGAACATCAAGATTGCGGTAGTCGCCAATCCATCCCACTTGGAGGCTGTTGACCCTGTGGTCCAGGGCAAAACAAAGGCAGAGCAATACTATCGTGGTGACACGGAAGGCAAAAGTGTAAGATGGCTACTTAGTGGAGTAAATAACGGGTTCAGAGATTATGTATACGTGGTGAATTATACTTAGAAAACCAGAAAATACCTCTGTGTTCAACAGTGAGTTGTATTTCAAATTAAACTAGAATTGACAGAAATATTGTCTGCTTACTGTTTGTTTATGATCCCCATTCTTTGTTGACAGGTGATGAGCATCCTTTTGCATGGTGACGCTGCATTTGCAGGGCAAGGTGTTGTATACGAGACGTTCCACTTGAGTGACCTTCCAGCCTACACCACTCACGGAACTATCCATGTCGTTGTCAACAATCAGGTGTGCTTTCTTATTGGTCAAGAATCATTGATGTCAGCTGTGATTGGTCAATTTAAATTCATCTCATCTGGTTGTGTATTAGTTCTCATTCTTGACATCGTAGTGTTATTGTGTATGAATGCTGTAACTATTGTCCTTTAACTTTGTTTACAGTCTACATGGTTCAACAGTTTATGATTTTCGAAACATTTGTACAGTGTTTATATTACGATAACCCCAGTTGGCCAGTGATTTCTTATCAAAGTCAGGGAATTAACTTATATCGGAACCATGAGATAGTAATATTAAATGTGTTGTTTCTAAAGTTTAATAAAAAGCTTTGATATGTGGTTGGCTTTATTACCAGTCATTAGCTTATCGCCAGAAAATTGCAATAAGTAATTGGTTTTTGATTATTAAATTTCCGGTTTTTAACTGTAACAGAAACTCAATGAAGGAAATCTGTTAATCGTAATTCTTGTTTCGTATATAACAGATTGGTTTTACCACTGACCCACGTATGGCACGGTCATCTCCGTACTGTACTGACGTTGCACGTGTGGTGAATGCACCTATCTTCCATGTCAATGCTGATTATCCAGAGGAGGTGGTTTATGTGTGCAAGGTCGCAGCAGAGTGGAGAGCAAAGTTTGGCAAGGATGTCGTTATAGATCTGGTAAAGAGCACTGATTCTTCAGTTTTACACAGAAATGTAGCACTGCTGTAAAAAAATACTGTAGAATTTTCATTGATTTAGTGTGGTCGAGGAAAATGTTAATATCCAACAACAATTATTCTGATGAAGAAAAAAATTTACATACTTTTATCTTCAGGAACTGAAATTGATGCATGTTTCATTAAATTCATCATGATGTCAAGTACATATATATAGGTGTATATATATAAGTATGTTACATATACATTTAAAGCAATTGCTGTTAATATTTTTCTAATTTTTGAAATATTTTTGATATAATTTGATTTGAAATAAAAAGAAAAAATGGAAGGCAGTTTAAACTAATTAACCGAGTATGTACTGATGTACACTGGACATGTTTATTCTTCGTCTTCATATAGACAATACTTTTAGTAGATTTTTCACCGGTGTTTCATTTAAATTTCAGGTATGTTATCGTCGTTTTGGACACAATGAAACAGACGAACCCATGTTTACTCAGCCTCTCATGTACAAGAAAATCAACAAACAGCCAACTGTCCTGTCCAAGTATGCTGAAAAGCTCATCCAGGAAAACGTTGTGAAACAGCATGAGTATGAGGTAAGTAGTCAGAAAATGTCTGATGAATCATTCATAACGGCTCAGGAAAAGTGGGAAAAAAATTTGATATCATTTCACAGACACTTAATTAATTCTGTTTATGAGGTAATGAGGCTCTGATCTCTATAGTAAACCAGATTACGTTAAGTGATTGTATCATCCAAAGAAAAAAGAGGACTCACAAACATATCTGTTTCTGCTCTGTTTTCAACATACATAATGTATCAAAGTTATAATTCAAAAAGCCCAGGGGGCCTAAATACAAAATTTGGGTAAGTCAGGTTGTGCTTATTTGCAGGGCAGTGAAATAGAATTCATTTGTAGTTCATTTTGAACAGTACTTTATATATAGATGGGCTTATTCCCAGGTCAATTTCATGTTCAACTTTTCAATTTTGACAGAACTAGGCCAAATCAATCTTGAGGTATCACATAGCACGTCTAGTAAAATAATGTCTACAGACAGTGTTTTGATTTCATGTTAGACTATTTGTCTGCATGTTGCATATTTTACAACCATTAAATTTCTACATTATCAGAATAATTTTGTTATTTTAATGAATTTTGTTTCTCTCAATTTTTAAGGAAGAGGAAAAGAAATATGATGCCATCTGTGAGACTGCGTACATTGAATCTAAAAAGCAGACAGCCGTGAAAAACTCGGACTGGCTTGACTCCCCTTGGGGTGACTTCTTTGGCAACCAGGACCCCATGAAAAATCCAACAACTGGAGTCACTGAAGATGTTTTGGCTCATATTGGAAGTCAAGTCAGCACTGTGCCTGAAAACTTTGACATTCATGGAGGTAAGACACAAGATATAACATAAGATTTCATGGACTGTTGTACATTGGATGTCTTAATTTCTATTTTTAGACTGGCTGGAAATTTGTAAAAGATAACACAGTTCAAAAGATTCTGTAATAAATCATAATATCTCAAGTTGTAACGACATCAACAAGTAAAAAAAAAAAGAAATTGAAAGAGATAACAATCTCTGGTTTTCATGTAGTATTGACATTTTTCATTTATCATTTTTGTGGAGAAATTTTGTATTGGAGGTATTAAAATTGTGGAAAACTATTTAAAACATAATCATATTTTTTACCTTTTCATTTCTGCATGATGAAATAGGCCTCAAGCGTGTGTTACGTGGGCGAGCTGACATGGTTAAAAATAGGATGGCTGACTGGGCCTTAGGGGAAGCATTTGCCTTTGGTTCACTGGTCGGGGAGAGCATTCATGTACGACTCAGTGGACAGGATGTAGAGAGAGGCACATTTAGGTAATTTACTAAAACAATACCTCTTCTCAAACTATTTTTCTAATGTTTCTTTTCTGTTTTGTCCATTTTAGATTTAAAGACTTTATTCCTAGTATATAATGTAAACTATTTTATTTTTATTGAAATCCACATGATTATTAGATGCAGTTTTTATGTGGAAGAGATGTTGAGTTTTTTTCACTGATGAATAAAATGCTTGGGCAAAAAATCTATAACCTTCTGACCTCTATAACTAGGCTCTATGCTGGTCATTCATGTAATGAATTTGGTAGTGTAGTCATCAAATCTTTTCAACTGGTTGTGATGTAAGAACAGCAATTCGACATCTTACCTTTACTGTTACAGCCATCGTCACTGTGTGCTGCATCATCAAAATAAAGACAAGGTCACATACGAACCCCTGAACCATCTCTACCCAAACCAGGCGGAATTCAAAGCTCACAACAGCTCACTATCTGAGTTTGGTGTCTTGGGTAAGTTCATCACACATCCTGAATTATGCCCTCGGATGGAAAGATCAGGGGCGTATTGTTTTTATGCCATCAGTTTGTTTGTCTGTTGTCAACTTTAACCTTGCCCATAAATATTGCACCGTTAGAGATAAGGCTTTCTTATTTGGCATGTGTGTTCATTGTGACAAGACATTTCCGATGTTACCAAACTTTTGACCATGTGACTTTGACATGACCTTTACCTGCATTTGAAAAATTTGAACATTTACCGTAACTGTTGAACTAAAACTGTCAAATCATTATTACAATGAAGACATAAGTGATTCGCAAAGTGTGCATGCAATTAGCTTATTCCTTACACAGTACAGTTTTAACATACCACTTCAGAATTCTGTTGCTTCTGTTGGAATTGTGTTTCACAAACACATCTTGTTAATCTATACTACATTTTACCAAGTTTGACTTGATCACCCCTACAGCATTATACATTCTCCTTAACGAGATAAGATGGTGAACAAGGATACCTTAAGTTGCTGTTCTTAATAAAAAAAAAAAACAGAAGTGTTGTTTGGTTTTCAAACTAAGAAACAAGTATTAGTTTGTAGTCCTCTAGTGATGTGTTTATGTAAAAGGAGACAGATGGCACACGTCATCATGTAACCTATAATGGGCACTGTAAGTTATGATACACTATTGCCCCAGTTATTTTCATTATTTTCTATTAAAGTGATCAAGTAATATTCTGACAAATACCTTCTTTGTGATCTGGATGTAAAAGGACATCTGATACAAGTGTCTTATTATTTCACAGATTTTTTTATCACGTTAATATACAGATATATAACCAAAAAATATTATCCCTGTGAATATAATCGGCTATATGGTACTTCATGTAGCATCTTCATTCGTCTGGTTCATTATGTTTATAATGTATGTAAAGATAAACTAGAGAAATACATCATCATATGTTATCTTCCTGATATACAGGACAAGACCGACTGTTTTATAATAAGTTTAATCACAAAATGGATATTAAAATTTCTATTTTAATGTTACAGGGTTTGATCATGGTTATTCCACTGACAAACCAAATGCCTTGATTATTTGGGAGGCACAGTTTGGAGATTTCCACAACACAGCCCAGTGTATCATTGATCAGTTTGTCTCCAGTGGTCAAGCTAAGTGGACACGCCAGAGTGGACTGGTCATGCTGCTTCCTCATGGCTATGACGGCATGGTCAGTATAAAAACAAAAACAAATTTTATTAAGCTTTTAGAAAATGTCTGAAATTACAGAAACACCTGGTTTTTTTTTTTCATCTTAAATCTTTGTGACTTTTTTGAGTTATTTTGTATTTTTCACTTCAGGGTCCAGAACACTCAAGTGCAAGGCTGGAACGGTTCCTTCAGATGTCCAGTGATGACTCTGATCATTTCCCTGTAAGTCTGATCTCTAATGTAGAATTCATCGACCACTCCTACAAGTTGATGCCCACACAAAGTAATGAATACTTCTATAGGACATCAAACTACCTGATATTTTACTGACATCATACAGACAGTTCTATATGGATTAACTGGTCACACATTGACAATGGAGTGACTATTCCAGAAAGTCCTGTAATGACATATTGTTTAATATCTTGAAGAGTTGGATGACTGTGATAACATGAATATTGTTTTAATGAAGCTTTAAGGATTTTCAATCTCTTCATTCATTAATTAATAATTTCATAATTAATGTTAGACATCGTTGAAGAAATTGTTGAACCCTGAACTAGATTGATTAAAATCATAAAAATGTGATATATGTTATAAATGGTGATCAGATTTCTCATTGACTTGTCTGAATTGTGTTGTGCAGGTGGAAAATGAGAACTTTGAGATGCAGCAGTTGTATGATATCAACTGGTTTGTGTGTATGCTGTCCACTCCCGCTAACATGTTCCATGTGTTACGTCGACAGATTGCTCTTCCTTTCAGGAAACCGGTATGTGGAGGTTTTAACTTTGTAGACCTGAAATATTGTACTTCATCAATTTGTGATGATTCTTAGACCTAAACAAAAATAAAATATATATTTCTTCATATTTAATCTGTTTGGGTAGAAACCCCAAATGTCCTGGTTTGATTATTGATATTGATTTTGGATGATTTTGGTTGTCTTAACTAAAATACCACACTTAAGACCCCTGGTATTACTGATAGTCTTAACAGCACAAACCAGCTGTAAAAGTCCAATTTATTTCATTACCTGGCATCTACTGTAAAATTCTATTGAAAAAAATACCACACTTTAGAACCCTGGTATTACTGATGAGTCTGAAAAGGGGAAAAAAACAGCTGTAATATGCAGTTTATTTCATTACATGGCATCTACTATAAAATTCTATTGAAATTTGCCCTTCACTCGTGTCTTCTGTGCAATTTTTAAATATTGTTAAATCTGATCTTTCAGTTGGTATGAATGTTTGAAAAAAAGATTGTGATGGTTTCAGTTGATTAAAAGGTTGTAAAATTGTTGAAGAATTGCCTCATGTTTCCTTGGAATCAGTACCTGGTATGTTCTGGTGTAATTTGTATGTTATCTTTCCTTTAAAGCTGATTATTATGACGCCCAAGAACCTGCTACGTTTGCCTGAAGCAAGGTCAAGTTTCGATGACATGTTGGAAGGTACCAGGTTCCAGCGTGCCATTCCAGAAGAGGGATTACCATCGGAGAATCCAAATGCTGTTAAGAAACTGATCTTTTGTAGTGGAAAGGTCTACTATGAACTGGTCAAGGAAAGGGATTTGAAGGGCAACACAGACAAAATCGCCATCGCTAGGATAGAACAGGTATGTTGATTAGCTTGTTTCTGTAAAATAAAATTTAAGGCCAGACCATGTAAATGTTCAGCTTTTACAGCACTAAAAGCAAGTTTGAGATTTTTTTCCCTCATTGTCAAGACATTTCACATTGCCAAGTAAGATTGATGGGTTATGAGTTATTGCAGTTGATGTTAGATATAGGAGGAAAAAGCGGTTTTTGGGATTTGTTTGTAGTTTTATTATCTTTAGAACAAGGACTGAAACAGTACTTTTCAAAAAGAAATATATAACAAAATGTATTATTGTATCATCTAAAGTAACAACCATGTTTTAAACATTTTGTTTGTTTCTAGATCTCGCCTTTCCCTTATGATCTGGTGAGGAAGGAGATCGAGAAATACTCGGGAGCTAAAATTGTGTTTGTCCAAGAGGAGCCAAAGAATATGGGTGCTTGGTGCTACGTGCAACCCCGCATGACCACAGTTCTCAAACGTATTAATTCTAACCGCGAAATCAAGTAAGTCTTATGTGATGTAGGTCACTTAGATCACAATATTCGAAAAGTAATCACATTAGGTTAACTGCTTGGTTTTTGTTTGCCACAAGAAAGGAGGGGGAAGTGAGACTTATGGTGTTAGAGTTTCATCATGTTGGTGTCCTCACAAAACATAAGTAGTGTCTAGATTCTTAGAAAGTGTGAATAGTACAGCAGTCAAAATTTTAACTAGACCTTGGGATGTACAATGCAAACCTAGGCAAAAAAAGATTGGAATTACTTAACTCATCTTTTGAGTGAAAAGCAGAAAAGTTTGATGGATTTTGAAATTTGCAAGAATTGGGCATTATCTTTACCGAATTCGTCACTGTAATGAGTCAAAGCGGGTTAAAAGTGTGCATTGACGATTAATGTAAATCCTCTAAATTCTTGCTCATATAGATTTTATTTTTTCAGATATATTGGACGGGATCCATCTGCAGCCACAGCTGCAGGCAACAAACAACTCCATATGCAGGAGCTCTCCAAATTCCTCAATGATGCTGTGCACCTTTAAATAAAAAGACTTTTGTACCCAAGGGAGATAAGCAAAGTTTGATAGAGTAAAAAGTAGACTGAGAAGGGAACTCAGAGGAAACAGACTTGCATAATGATTTTGTATTGTTTATGCTTCATAAAGTTTTTTTCTCCTGAAAGCCAAGTGACACTGTTTGTGATTGGTTTCTAAAGGGAATGCTGTTGAAACCACTGACTTAAATTTCATGTGTTGTTGACACACTGGAATGCTCGATCTGATTTTTGTTGAGAAGTAACATTTATGTTGTTCCACTCTGATTCATGGCACAGATATCTTTATTAAGTATTCAGCACAGCAAAACTTACCAGATGGAAAATCTGAAGTTGTATTCTTTTCAACCAACCTCAGTTTCCATGTCAATACAATTTTTTTACTGGGAGGTGATGGGCCAGCTTGATTAATATAGAAAGGTAGTAGCCCAAGGCACTAATGTCGATCTTTTGACTAGATCATATTGACCATGCACAACTTAAAATCTCTGAATAGCATCAGATATAGTACAGTCTGAGTTTAACCAAACCATCTATTTGCTGGCTTGTTACTAATTAAATCTCTAGACCATCTCGATTCTTCATACTTCATCGATGCTTTTGGTTGCATATGATAACATCAGACTTGAAAAAGACTCTGGAAATATATCCAGACCATTAAAACTGAAATGGATGGATTTCAAACTTTTCTTCACTGTTTTTACAATTGCTTATTGTCCACAGATTGAATACTTTGTTAGTTATAAACAAATTTGGTTATTTAAAAAAAAAGGATAAAAGCACTTGGTATCCAGTTGCACCGTTTGTGCTCTATTTGGCCAGTTGTCTGAGATAAGGAGTGTTTTGATATTGAATACCTGGACTATTTTTATAGGCGTGTATATATTTTTAACTGAGTTATTATCCAAGCTACGAGCATCTGTTGTAAATATGTATAAAGAGATGTCAGTGGCTCTTAGGCACATTTTTGCGGTGAAATCATCACAGATTATCACAAGGAAATGATGAGAAGGTTAGCGTTTCATAGTTGTCATTAGATATGAAGTTGTCATTTTACTTTGCTATATATAGAGGATTTATATTTGATCTTCATAAGTTAAGCTAATGTAGATTTGGGCTATTGAGATCTGATACTTGTTTAACCTCCTTTTTATTTTGTTCTCATCATAAGTCTTGCATTTTTTGACAATGAGTATTTAATTGTGAATGGAGCTATATATTTAAATTATTAATGGCCACAGAGCATATTTTTTAGTGCTTCCTGTTCTTTCGTTGTTGGATGTAGGGCAAGTTACCTCCCCTTACTAAACGAGGAACCGGTTGCATTCCCTTTTTAAGAAAGAAGAAAATTGATTAAAAATTCATAAAAATTTCTGGATAAATCATATCAAAAATTATGCATGTGTGAAATTTATTTTCTTGTGTCATATTAATCAACTGAATGGAATTTTTCTTAAACAAATACATATGATATCCTTGAGTGGGTTAAGTTGACACCGTGAAAGGTTTATCTGTCATTGTTTTTGTTCTGTTCTTATTTCTAGATGGCAAAAAAATATAAAATGACAACAATGGTATGACTGATTGCAACAAAATTGTTATTTTGTTTCTTTGTGTGTCTTACCTGCAAACAACACAAACTACAGATTTATGGAAACTCCTGGGATGATATCTGAAAATGTCTCTTCTCTGATCATCTTCCTTTTCGAGGGATGTTTTTGGCCAGATGTTGACCCTGAGAAAATAACCTGAAACATGAGATGACAAGTCAGCTAGAAATATCAGAGGATTTAGAGAGGGTAGATGTTAGATGTAAACAACAGGGGTTTGTTTTAAGTATGGCTCTGAAATTATTTTTACATTTATCGAAAAAAATCACATTGGGTTCAGTGTTCATTTTCAGACATTGATTTCAAAAACATAAGTTCTGTTTCATCATTAGTTGAATAAGAAAATCTCATTGATGGTTGAACAGTATTTTGAAAATAGTAAAGCTTAGAACATCAAGTGTTTGCTAAGATTCAGTCTCATACAGTTTAATTTTATTATTACATGTATTTGGTTTTCTTTTCTTAAAGTTATTTTAAGTTTTAAGTTTGTTCAACACAGTTAAAATAACATATCCTGTATACAAGTTTTGAAGAAAAATGCTTTCAGAATGGTCATTTGAAATAAGACATCTTTTGACAATCAATTACTCCAAATATGGAATGTTGGCTGTTCACGAAAGGTGAATTTTCTCCACATTTATACCTCACCCGGTAAAATATCAAGAAGTATTAATTGATAGGAAATCCAAGGACTTGTTATTTCAAGGAGGTCATTTTTTTTATACAATTGACGTTTGAATTATAAATGTATTTCTATAATGAGCAGTGCCTTTGTATAATTAAGGTAGTGTTAGATTTTTTGCTCCAATTTTTTTTTGGTTGAAGATGTTGAAAATAGGTCAGATTCGCTAGTACCAGAACTGAATTCAGTACTGTATAACTGGAATTGATTCCACCAGCATTTTGGGAAGCTATATTTAATTTTGTCGTGTAAATATTTTACCTAATACAGTCTTCAGTTTATCTCTGTTAGTGTTAATTTAAAACATTGTTAAAACTTTCTTTTTTCGCTTTTATTTTATAGTTATCCAAACTTTTATTCATTTTGTTATCTGTAGAATATATTTCATTAATTATGATAGAAAAATGTTTCTGAAATATAATCTTGTGTTATGATGACTCGTGTATAATTTCCAAAAAGTACATTAGATAAAAAATTCCTTGTTGCAGATTTTTCAACAAAACTTGAATCAAATGATTAAATGAATATTTGATGTGGAGGATTATTGTAATTTAAAATCAATTTATGATATCAAAAAGTTTCACCAAAAAAGATACTGTACTGATAGAATCATATCAAAAGGGTACTTTAAAAAGATAATATCAGATATTTGATCGGTTTGATCATTGTTCAAAACATTCAACCTGTCATCAGGGGATATAGCACACCTTCATTTCAATGTTAAATTTTCTATCATCTGAAATGATTAAAGTACAGGTTAAGATGGAAAGATTTTTTTTTTCAATTTGGGTTGTTTTTTTTCTTTTCTTTTTTTTATTTGAGACAAATTTATCAGTTATATGAATTTCAGATTTTAAAAAGTATCAGGTCATTTAAATTTTTATTTGTTTATCGATCTTCAAAGTTAGATTTCAATTTGGAAGCATATACATTTTAATGTACATGTTTATATGCTATAACACTAGAAGGACAATCTACATCAGACCATATGTATAATGGATCCATTTTAAAGAAACTATTTGTCTTAAGGATGGAAGCAATTTAAATAATATCCTTCCAGATAGTTTGGGAAGCAAGTGTTGACAATGAGAAGTAATATCAGATATGAATATTGCAGTCTTCGATGAATAATCCCAGATACAGGAAATCGAAACTGATATAAAAAAACATCAAATATAGTAGTAGTGGTTTTGAAAGATAGTAAAAATGATTCTAATTCATTTTTGATACAAAAATTCTGTGTTTGACCATACCGAAAATTCAAGATTGTGTGCACTTTGTCAGTTTCTCAGCAAAGTTTTTTTTTTGCAGACACTGCTGCAAACTGTGATTCCTCTGTCTTTTAATGTTCAGCAGCAATTGTCATTTTTAATGAATATCATTCTGTGCCAGCTTTCTTGCAAGAAAATGGTGATTAATTTTTATTACACACAACACGTTTCCTGAGAAGGTATCATTGTTTCTTTATTGTACTGAGACCAGAAGAAGGTGAAATAATGGCATCGCTACTCTATAAGATACGCAGAGTAAATTTTATTTGCTTACCTCTGATCAACACTGGCTGTATTCTCTGTTATTGTTTGTACAATAAAAACTTTTTGGGATTTTTTTTTTCATGACAAATTCCAGAATATCATAAAACTATGTGAGATTTTAGTTGTGTTGTTGTTTTTATACTCTGCCGAATGAGTTACTTTGGGAAAACCTTGTCCAGGATTATATCATCAAATTTGTTTTGGACTTCTATGTAGGTCTTGTGTTGATACAAGAAAATGACATAACGTCAGAATAATTAGGACTACTTCTTATGGGTCTGGTTTTTTCAATAAATCTTTAAATCTGCTTATTGCTTTAAAGCTAAGGAATGCAGACTTGGTATACTCAACACTTAAAAGAACCATAATTATATTTTCTAAGGCGCCACATTTGTCCCTGTTTTCAGGATGTGGCTGGCAATGACGGTACCGATGTTAACACACGACCTCCTCTATTCTAGTAATGCCTCAATGCGTATATGACCTTTATGAACTTGTGTTCAGTTGAATGGTGACTGAATGCACAAGTTAACAGTATATTTATGGAATTTCGGTGGTATGAAAACAGATTAGTGTTTGTTATACAGACAGTGAAAAGCAAGATCTAAATAGCATGAATTAGCCCATCCCTAAAAAAGCTTCTTTTTTACAATCAAACAGGTTTCTGTACACAACTATGATACAGGTGAAGCAGGTCATGTAGTGTGGATTTCCATATAACTAATGAATTGTTGGAGATTGCGCAAAGATCGAGTTAAACTTAACAAGTTACATTGATTAAAATTATCACTTCCAGAGTGGATAAATGCACCAGGTTCATTAAGTTAAATCGAAAATGAAGTTTTAAATCCTATTTCTGGATCCCGATATTGTAGCCACACCAATCCTATGCTGAACACTGATGAAAATGCAACATGGGATTTTTGTATAAATATTGTAGGTTCTCCTTTGGTCCCTAATTGTGCCCTTTGAAATTTGGGTCTGATCAGAAAAGCAAAATGGCCGACATGCAGCCATCTTAGATTTTGATTTGGGAAGTTTGTTATCCCTTTTTCATAAAAATGTACTGAATAGATCTCCAATTTCATACGTAGGTTCCTTTGGTCTCTAATTGTGTTCGTTTGGTTTTAGGACTGATTAGAAAAAACAAAATGGCTTCCAGGCAACCATATTGGATCTGGCATTTAAAGATTATCATCGCTATTTCTGCCAAGGAATGATCAAATCACTATGAGCAAAATCAGAGAAAAGAAAAAAGGGAAAATATCCAACTTTCAAAGAGCAAAATCAAACAACGGCAGGCCCCATGGTCCCTCTTGTTTGAGTCAATTTTGCTTTGAATGCCAATATTTTTTCACTAACCATCCTTTGAGTAAGCGAGGCCAGAAAACCTTGACATTTTCTTTGCAAACACTTGTCGTTTAACAATTTCTAGTGTGAGAGATAAATTTTGCCCATGCCTGGGACTTACGTGTGTAGTCTGTAGGTCGTTTGGCGACACGAAAAACAAGCCAAAGCACTATTTTGTGTTAATCAACTACATTACGGATAAGCTTGTGTCTATTCAGGCACATCATTGTTGACTAAAACTATATATGACTACCCTTTTTAAATACAGTGTTATCCCGAAACTTTACCATTTAATCTGCAAATATTTTTTAAAGTATACATAGCTACTCCGTAGATTTATTGTATCAATACTTTAATAGATATGGACATTTGGTCGGGAATTGGTAACAAGTCCCTGTGGCCACACCAACCGACGTTCCGACCGTACGACGTTTTGTTCGCCGATATAATAACTTGGTCTTGTCTGTAAACAACTTTACGTTTCCTGCTTGTAAAAAGGAAGAAAATGAGCTAGATTTGCTTGATAACAAGTGAATCCAGCCTACATCATCACCATTTTTTCTGAAATATGACGTAGTATTGCTCCCCTGTTACGATTACCAGTCGGTGGTAACATAAGGATACCGACTTTAATTTATTTCCGAGTCCTAGACGTTAAGATAATAATCACACGATGGGTACTTAAATAAGTCTTTAATAATGGTTACAATCGGATTTACATACAATTGTGATACTTTGTAACACAATGGCCTTATTACGTAATGATTACATGATCATTACATGATCCTGTTTCATTACTATTTCAAGATATGAATTTTATATTATATATATTAATACATGTTTTCCTGTGGTAAAATGTTTTCCTGTAGTAGCGTAAACAATGTTAATACTGTGTGTATACATTATAATGGGTTAACTGGACGATAATGGACATGGAGATGACACAGGCTGATAAAATAAATGGGTAGGAATGAATGAATTTTTTTTTCAAAAACCAAATAAACCATTTCAAGAAAAAAATCATCAATTAATACAAATCCATTAAGTTCAATTTACACAATTTGATTGTATGGATACATATATTAACTTGGGGCAGAAATTGGAAATTAAATGATTTTTACAAATCCATTAAGTTCAATTTACACAATTTGTTTGTATGGAATATTTGGGGCAAAACAGGTGTGTTGACTCCCGCTGGGATGTTGTGGGCAGGGGAGCTGACCAATCGCTGACATTCATATGTCACAGGTATTATAAAAGCAGCCCTGGAGACACCGTTTGCAGTCAAAAAAACCTTTACATTGACCTTTATTCAAGGTCACTTTCGGCCATATGTGTTATAGATTTTTTTCGCCAAACGACTTATTCCGATTAACACAAAAGTCCAGGGATCATGTTTTACTCTAGTTGTAACGTATCCTGTTGTTATTCTCGTGGAGCCATACCTGGTGAATTATGTTAAATAAAACTGCGAACCTTTGGAACCTGGGTTGTTGAACTTTTGTCATTTCAATACGCATATGAACACCTGAAGTGTTATAACTTCTGCTTCCCAAGGTTGACTGAATGGAAAACCACAGATTCGTGTAATAATGATAAATTTAAATCTATATTGATCATTTGCTCATAAAACATCCCAGTTACAGCATTTGAATTTTTTACTCTGTACATTACCATATCTCATTACACCCAACCCCCATGCAATACATGCAAAAGTTGATGCATCACTGTCTGTCTGTCTATCTGTCTCTCTGTCCGTTAAGAAAGTTTGTCCAGACAACTATCAGTGATACTATTTTCAAAAAAGATGGTTTCCATGGTGACCAAATGAAGGCCCCTTAGAAATGTTGTTGGGACAACCCGTCCGAAACCATTGTTGGTGACAGTTTTAGCTCTAAAAAATCCTTTATTCTCGTCAAGAGAGCGCTTGTCGAGAAAAGCGAGCAGCAACACATAAGACAGTGTACCGTGATTGAACGTGTGTTGTGAAAATCACGACTAAATGCCAAAGAGAGCGGAATGACCGCCCTTGACACAATGTAGCTTATGTGATTACATGACTACCCAAAGGGCGAAAAACTACTTAGGTATTTTTATACGTCCACTTTTGAGCTATCTGACGCCAACTTATATTTATAAAACGTATTTTCTACATAGTGCCTGTAGTGTTGATAGATTTTCTAGTATGTTTGATTTAGAGCCAGTGGAATAACAAAGCTATGTTGATTTAACCTTGGGCTTTGCGTATAATCAGCATTCATTCTCTATATCATCTGTCTTCTGAAAACATGCATTACCACCGTGATTTGGTCACAAATTGATGACCTGCACAGTTTCCTGTTTGTATGATAGTATTAGGTATTGTACATAAAATTTAAACTGAACGAGAAGTATACACACGTAAAACAAAGCACGCAAGATTATATCCGTGTGTTAAGAAATTAAACGTATTCATCGTTTTCATTGCCTCGACTCCGATTTATTCACTTAAAAAACGCACACATCAAAAAGGTCCTGGAGAGACCCTTAACGTCGTATGTGAAGACCGATACAAGATCTTGCATTTAATGTGTGTTCTAAATCCTGTAACGCCTCAGGTTAATTACATAAACACAAGACCCAGGTTCTGATGTAAGTCGACGATCCTTTTATTGAGACTTAAACTACACAGATCTTAGACGTTCACAACAAGAGTCCCGAGCGCCCCTTCCACAAGCCAAACGTTACCAGTCTCAGAGTCGTGGCCGCTAACTGCTTACTCCTTCCTGACTGCTAAGACAGTCGCTTCTATTTATCCCCCTGACCACTGGCCACGGCCAGCAACACCTGGTCAGAGTCCAAAATTCTCTCCGGACATTAAATTTCTCAACAAGAAAATAAACATACTTTTGCCGGAATTAAACACAAAAATAAACATATTTGGGGAATACACAGCGCTGGACACACGATTTGTAAACCTAGGTGATTAACTTATCGACATAAATACCTGAAGAGTGTCATTTAGTTTGCCAGACATCA